GGGGAAGGTAATTTAAGACACATACCTGCGTGGGCCAAGGGGTGCCACCGATCCTAGTGGCAGCAGTGTGGGGAAACGACCCAACATGGCACCGGGCATTGCAGGAGCTGCCATACCGGGCACTGTAAAGGAGACAGAGAGACAATGAGAGATAATGGGAAGATAGAGAGATATAATGAAAGAGATAATGCGAGATAAAGAGATAATGAGTCAATGAGATAAAAAAATGAGAGATAATGAGAGATAATGCGATAAAGAGAGGTAAATAGAGAGATAATGAAAGTGACAACGAGAGATAGAGAGATATAATGAAAGAGATAAAGAGAGAGACAATGAAAGAGACAACGAGATATAGACAATTAGAGATAATGAGAGCGATAATGAGAGACAATGAGAGTTAAAGAGAGACAACGAGAGATAGAGAGACGATGAAAGAGATAACGAGACAATGAGATAAAGAGAGATAATGAAAGGAGAATAGGACACTGGAATAGAGTCAACATGAAGACACTAACACGGAATTAAGGATGATTAATTTAACCTAACCCTTTGTTCAGATGGATCAGATAGATAGATCAGTCCCTAATAGATAGATGAATCAGCCCCTAATAGATAGATGAATCAGCCCTCAATAGATAGATGAATCAGCCCCTAATAGATAGATGAATCAGCCCCTAATAGATAGATGAATCAGCCCCTAATAGATAGATGAATCAGCCCCCTAATAGATAGATGAATCAGCCCCCTTAACACCTGGGATAAATTAAGACCTACCTGTATTCAACAGTCCCATCTGTGCCCTAGTTAGTCCCCTCATAGCTGGGTGGGTGAGGAGAGTAGGGGCTACGGGGGTGGCGGCAGCAGCGTGATGGGCGGCTGGTGGGCGGCGGCGGCGGCGGATGGCAGCTTGACGGGGCAGGCGGCGGTGGGGAGAGTGAGTTGGGCGGCGAGAGAGAGCCCGTAGAGTCTGTGTGACCGTCCAGCCCTTCACCGCCTCCTCCAGGTAGTCCCGTCCGGCCGTTCAGCACCTGCATCTCTCTCATCTGCTCCTGTCGGATCTCGTCGTTGTGGTCCTGGAGAGAGAGAGAGAGATAGAGAGATAGAGACAGAGAGAGAGAGAGAGATAATGGAGTTTGTTTAGTAGAGAAGATAAATACAACTACCCCCCCTACCTCCAACATCCTCCATCTCCAACACTTCCCAACACCAACACTCCCACCCCCCCTCATCTCCAACACTCCCCCAACACCAACACTCCCACCACCACCCCCATCACCAACACCCCCCACCCCATCTTCAACACTCCCAACACCCCACCCCACCCCCATCTCCAACACTCCCCAACACCCCCACTCCCATCTCCAACACTCCCAACACCCCCAATCCCCATCTCCAACACTCCCAACACACCCCCACCCTTATTCTCAACACTCCCAACACCAACCCCACCACACAATGATCTATTTACTGGTTATACATAAAAGTTTTGCTCTCGTCAATTCTGTAATTCAACAAATGTATTTAAATATATATTAACACTAGTGGCGGTAATTTAACAGGTGTATATATTTAGGTGTGTAGGATATTTTTCAGGTGTGGGATATATTTCAGGTGTGGGGCTGAATTTCAGGTGTAGGATATTTTTTCAGGTGTAGATATATTTCAGGTGGGGTAGTTTAGATGTGATAGTATACTTTAGTAGAGAGAGAGAGAGAGAGAGAGAGAGAGAGAGAGAGAGAGAGAGAGAGAGAGAGAGAGAGAGAGAGAGAAAATGGAGGGTATTACAAAGGTTTAATGTGAATATGTGTGTGTGTGTGTGTGTGTGTGTGTGTGCGTCCCTACCTTCCCTTTCTCTCCACCTTCTATCCCTTTTCTTTCTTTCTTTCTTTCTTTCTTTCTTTCTTTCTTTCTTTTTTTTTCTTCTCCTCTCTCTCTCTCTCTCCTCTCTCTCTCTCTCTCTCTCTCTCTCTCTCTCACTGGTTGCTTCACATGATTTGTAATAGAGACGAGACGGCCCACCCTGTACTCGACCTACGGACATAAGGGAGAGTAAGGGAGGGTGTGGGAGAAAGAGGAGAGTTAGGAGAGTGAGGGAAAGAGGGGTGTAAGGAGAGAGAGAGAGAGAGAGAGAGAGAGAGAGAGAGAGAGAGAGAGAGAGAGAGAGAGAGAGAGAGAGAGAGAGAGAGACATGGGGTAACTCACCTCTCAAGTGGCTTATGTCTAGTTCATGTGTTAGTCCAATCTCCCCTTCCTTCTCCTTTCCTCCCTTCTCTCCCTGAACCTTTCCCCCTTTCTCTATCCTCCCCCTCTTTCACCCTCCCTTCCTTAACTCCCATTCCTTCACACTCCTTTCCCTTTCCCTCTCTCCCTTCCCTTCCCGTCTCTCCCTTACCTCCCCCATTTCCCTTCCACCCATCTCTCCCTTTCCTTCCTCCCCTTCACCCTTCCTTTCTTCCACTTCCCTCTCCCTTTCCATCCCTCCCTTCCCCTCCCTCCCTCTCCCCCAACCAGCAGACATAAGACATAGAGTCAGCCAGCAGACTAATTATACGCCTCAGCTCCACCCAGTAATTGTCTGCTTTCAGGTGACTTCTAGATTATAGAGGACAGGAGATTATATGACAGGTGTAAAGCCTTTAATTATAAACGACAGGTGTAGAGCCTTTAATTATAGACGACAGGTGTAGAGCCTTTGATTATAGAGGACAGGTGTAGAGCCTTTGATTATAGACGACAGTAGAGCCATTGATTATAGAGGACAGGTGGAGCCATTGATTATAGACGACAGGTGTAGAGCCATTGATTATAGGACGACAGTGTAGAGCCATTGATTATAGACTACAGGTGTGGAGCTTTGATTATAGACTACAGGTGTGGAGCCTTTGATTATAGAGGACAGGTGTAGAGCCTTTTGATTATAGAGACAGGTGTAGCCTTTTGATTATAGACGACAGGTGTAGAGCCATTGATTATAGAGGACAGGTGTAGAGCTATTGATTATAGAGGACAGTGTGTAGAGCCTTGATTATAGAGGACAGGTGTAGAGCCTTTGATTATAGAATGACAGATGTAGAGCCTTTAATTATAGACGACAGGTGTAGAGCCTTTGATTATAAACGACAGGTAGAGCCTTTTGATTATAGACGACAGGTAGAGCCATTGATTATAGAGGACAGGTGAGCCTTTGATTATAGAGGACAGGTGTAGAGCCTTTGATTACAGACGACAGGTGTAGAGCCATTGATTATAGAGGACAGGAGCCTTTGATTATAGAGGACAGGTGTAGAGCCTTTGATTATAGAGGACAGGTGTAGAGCCTTTGAAACCATTTTTGTTTTCACTGTGGCTAAGACTCAGAGATATCATCCAATATGTCGGCCAAATTGCACTGAGACTCTACTACCGGATCACGATACACCCTCCCATCCACCTTCCCATCCACCTTCCCATTCACCTTCCCATCCACCTTCCCATCCACTTGAGGAGGAATTTATCTTAAGAACCTTCGAGAATCTGTCTTTGTGTAGTAGCTATGAGTCAGTTGCAAATCGTAGGAGGGGGGAGGAGGGGGGAGGAGGGCGGAGCGGAGGGGGAGGTGTTCTTACGTCGTCTTAATGAGAGAGAGAGAGAAGAGAGAGAGAGAGAGAGAGAGAGAGAGAGAGAAGACCAGCCAGCCCATGGAACAATTTCGGTGTTTTTAAGGAGGAGGAAGGAGGAGGAGGGAGGGGGGGGATGAGGTGGCCAAATTAGAAATTCATGGGTGATAGAAAACGGAGGTCAAAGGGAGGGGAGACTTGCATATATTACTACTCTATGGTTTTATTGCAACCAAGTCTGGGAAGTCTTAGAGATTAGTAAAGTTTGAAAGTTTTCTCAATAACTGCGGAGGTCAAACGAGGTAATCAGTTAACGACAGAGATTTTTTTTTTGGGGAGGGGGGTAGTTACGGCGCCATTGTGGGTATTTTTGCATCAATCTTCGTATTTTCTCTCTCTCTACACCTCACACTTACACAATCCTCCTACACCCACCTACACCTCAGATTACCCACCCTTACACCTACACCACCTCCAACACACTCCCACTACACCCCACACCACCCATACACACCCCCTACACCACCCCTACACTTCCCTACACCACCTCCAACACCCCTACACCCCCTACACCCCCAACCTCCTACACCCCCAACACTCCCACTACACCCCCAACACTCCCACTACACCCCCTACACCTCAACACTCCCCTACACCCCTACACCACCCCCAACACTCCCACTACACCCCTACACCACCTCCAACACTCCCACTACACCCCTACACCCCCCAACACTCCCCACTACACCCCCTACACCCCAACACTCCCAACCACACACCCCCCCACCTATTCTCCCGAGTTTAATTAGCGTGGGCAGTGTAGCTCAACCACGGCCGTAATGCCCACCATAACTCATAACTACGACTGTCTCTCGCTCTCAATACACGTCCTCTGGCTATCACACAGGACGATCACCGCGCCAGTTGGGGAGGGTAATTAGGACATGGTTGGGAGGGTGATTAGGACACGACACATGTTTGGCAGGGTAATTAAGACACCTGGTTAAGTCATTAGGACATGTTTGGCAGGGTAATTAGGACACCTGGTTAAGTCATTTGGACATGTTTGGCAGGGTAATTAGGACACCTGGTTAAGTCATTAGGACATGTTTGGCAGGGTAATTAGGACACCTGGTTAAGTCATTAGGACATGTTTGGCAGGGTAATTAGGACATGGTGCATAAGAGGGAAAAAGTTATGAATATCTGGCTAGAGTGAAATGAACTCCAGTGTTGGTGATGGTGGGGAGAGGGAGGGAGGGAGAGAGGGGGGAAAGGAGGGAGAGAGACGGAATGAGGGAGAGGGAGGGAAGGAGGGAGAAGGAGGGAAGGAACGAGAGGGAGGGTAGAGAGATGGAAGGAAGGAGGGAGGGAAGGGGAAGAGAGAGGGAGGGAATGACAGATA